TTTTTTTTTTTTTTTTTTTTTTTTTTTTTTTTATAGTAAGCATGAAAGAACAACACAGAACCAATCTTTTGATGTTTGCAGGGCACTGGGAGAGAGGGAAGGAGTGTTGCTTTGTTTTATATGTGGGAAAAGAAGAATCTGAGTTACACTCTTGGGAACACTCTAGGGACCCAAACACTGGCGCTGATTTGGTTTTTTACATTAGCCTTTAGCCAGAGTTGCTCCATGTGTTAGCCTAATCCTATAATTTACACTTTTCTTTCTTTCATTTGACCTCTGTCATTTTGTTGGCCTCAGGAACAATCTTTTAATTCCCTGGGACAGGAGATGGACCCGTGCAAGCATATTTCTTGGTGATAGGGCTGATCTGTAACTACAAGCAGAAAACTGGTGCACCGAGGCAAGGTGTGGGAGCAGGAGAACGCAGCGAAAGATTTTCCAGTCCAGACCTTTGCACCAGCTGGGAAAAAAACAAAAGGAAAATGTTGAATAGATGGAGGTGATCGCTCAAGCTACCTGTCCTCCACTGAGTGTCCTGAGGAGGGAGTCTCTTGTTTACCCTAGTTTTGGGGGGAGTGTGACAGATACTGGTCAGATTATTGCTTGTAGAAGTGTCGTCTGTGAGGAACAGTTTACAAGAGAACTGGGCTTGGTCATTTCTTTTGGTGAAATTGTTTGGCAAATCCCTGTAAATGTAAGTTTGGACTATATATACATTTATTTTTCAGCAAAGGACATGGGTTCAGAGTGACAAAGATGCAGGAAAGGCAGATAGGTCTTTCCTAGAGAAGGAAATAGGTGATTTTCAGTCCCACCTTTGCTGAAATATCGAAAGGGCTCTGTGCCATGGGTGGGAACCCTCTTAATTCTTTTGCCTCCAGTGGGATAATACATAGGGCTTAGCCCTGAAAATCTCAGCCTTTTCTAAAGGTACATTTGCTTTCATGTGATTTTCTTGGCATTCATCATGGCCTGAGAACATGTTCTGCTCCATGAAGAGGATCAGAGAGAAGCTCACGCATGCAAGCCTGAAAGCTGGCCCGCCTCATTTAGCTGCGCAACATTTTAGGGTAAAGCTGTGTGGGAGTTGTATGTGCTAAGCACTTTTTGGGACACAGCCTAAAAGGAGTTCAGAGAGCTCAGCATCTTTTGTGATTGGGCCTTGGATGCTGGAGAACAGCTGCTACAAGTTGGCATCTTCCGCGAAATGGAAGTAGTCATGTTGGCTTCTTTTCTCGCTTTCTCTCTCTTGGGTTTTTAATTACAGACCTGAGCAGAGCTCAGAACCGCCAGCTTGTCTGAGCCAGCCCGGCTTGGATCTGCTGACCCAACAGAAACCTCAGCTCAGGAGCATCCCACTGCCCTGGGATCCCACCCCTGTCTAGCACTTGGCCTGACAGTTCTGGTGGCCTCTCCAGAGAGGAGATGGAGACAAATCCCTCCTGTTTTCCTCGCACAGGCTGCAGGTCTGGAACAAGCCTTTCCAGAAGTTTATCCCTCATGCGTGGGATCCATCTTTCCTGACTTTAAAACACCTTTTGGAGTGCTCCTGCAGCGCAGATATCTTCAGCCCACTGCCTGGAGCACTTTCAGTCCCACGGAGGGAGGGAGGCGATACTGGGGAACAAATTATTTGACCCAA